TTATACCTAGCTAGCTATTAAATTACTATAAGGCTAGAAGTAATATCTCCCTAGGCACTTTACTATTATAAAAACCCTCCTGATAATATCTGACTACTCGGCTCGGCTTGGCGGCGCAATTTTTAGAAGCCTAAGTTTACAGTGCCACCTCCAGCTTGCCTGCTCGGAAGAAGGCGTCAACGGTCCGTGAGCAAACGTTTGCATAGGCAATCAGTGCGTTGGCAGAGTTAATAGGCATGCCATAATGCCTACATGCATATACAAGAGGGCTTTCGCTCCTGTCATCGATCTGACGTGTGGGGGATAGGCATACAAGGCAGATCTCACGGATTTGGGCTTCATAGCCATCATTTGATGCCAGACGGCCAATCGCGTAGCTTGCCGTGGCCTTCCAGGGTACGGCCAACGAGGTTCAATGTTGACCCGTGTGGGTGCATGTCGACTCTGGTTATTTCTGGGAAAGTGACGCAACCATTTCCTGTTTGTGGCGCTTCTTACTCGATTGGGTCAGTAGCACTATTACATGTGGTGGTGAACATTTTCACCTACCAGACAAGACATATGTACACCCACATGGTCGCGCCGGCTTTAAAAACCAAATGATTGTGTTACTATAAAAATTTTAAGTTTTTAATAATAAAAGCGCTAACAAGGCTTAGATTGCTCAAATACATGTACGCAATTTCTGGGGCTTCAACTGTAGATCGCGAATTATTACACCACATGCACGTAATTCACCCCTAGTGCCAGGCCAATATATGTGAAACTGTCTGGTATAGCGGGGCGTAAAGGGTCTGGTCGACTCAGTGCTGGTAGCACAAATAGCACTACTCCTTTGTCTCTCATCGAGCCTCTGTGTCGCAAACAATGTCATGTCAGCGCAAAACGTCAAAATTGCAGGGTCGTTATTAAACACAGTCCACTCCACCTTGCGCTTTAATTTTGGGAGTTGGTGGCTGATAATCCTGAGTGGTATGTTGTTTATTAGATTAAAAGAGAAATTGGCTGGCCATGCATCCATCCACCGAGCAATGTCGAGGTTGGATTCCTTGGTTGATGAATACGGAGTACATCCATGGACAACCACAGGGTAGTGTTCAAGTCGCATGAATCACCAACATGTTTGTGCAGGGACCAAAATTTGGGAATCCCTCCTACCTGCACTCGACCGCGAGCAAGACGTGGAGCTGGGATATGCGGTGTAGACAACAACTATCCTTAATTTCCATGTTGGATAAAGATATCCCATGTGAGAATTACGTGTGCTTGTCTCCAAAGACGGAGAAAACGATGAATAGTACCCATATATTTCATAACCACCACCTGTCCCAATATGACCCAACTCAAGACAATTTCGTGTTCAAGCCCCTCTCTCCAATTAGCTTCCTTACATTCATTTCTTCCTTACATTCTTTCAACATGAGGCATTCTCTTCTTGTTATCGTGCTGCCACTTGTTGGCGCTATTCCTCGAGGACCTCTTGGCGAGCGTGATACAAAGACTACTGTTTCAAAAAGAGGTTGGTTAGGCCATGATGTATTGGACGGAAACTCGATCCAGCCAGCCCACCATTCAACATGGCATTGGTCCAACTTTCATCCGTCCAAGTGGGATTGGTCCAACTTTGATTTGTGCAAGTGGAATTGGTACAACTGGTTGAATTGGTTAGGTTTTGGTGATGAGTTTTGTGAGTCTGATGACGATACACAACGACCCCAGCAACCGACTCCCACCAAGCCTGAAACGCCAGAGAAGCCTCCTACACAACCCTCCCCAAGCACTACCCAGGCCCCTCCTCCTGGCGGCGGCAACGGACCTGAGTATATCAATCGTGTCAACAAGTGGATGGATGCTTGTGGGCTACGCCACCTGGCGCACGACTCCACGTTGGAGAGCAATGCTCACCAGACAAGTGTGGAGGCTAATGGAAACATGGTTCATAACATGTTGCCTGGCACCATGGCACAGGTCATGGCACGGGGCGATCTAACAGAAAATTTCGACCGGGCGTTTGTAGGTGGCTGGCTCTGCGAGATGAAAACACTTTTCAAAGACAAGAATTTCTGCGACGAGAGCGACCTAGCCAAAGGTTGGACGTATAGTGGCACGGACCATGCCAAGATCTTGTCCAACTCACGGTACACAAAGATTGGATGCGGAACTGCCAAGGACATTGTGATCTGTGACGTTGCCTAGAGCTCTGGAACTGGATATACCACTCTCCAAAGGAATAGGCGCTGTTGGGTTTCGGGCGCATCATCACAAGCCACGGGGTGTTTTCAACCCATCGACGTTTAATATCGTGGCTCCCTAGTCCTCCTTATTGTTCTTTGTACACAGTATGCATGTCTCTTTAGCTCAAAACCAATAGCACTTGACGGGTTTCAAGAATACAAATAGCCTTGCAAAATGTTTATACACTTTTTGGCGGGGTGCCTAGCTCTTGCTCAGATATTCCAAAATGTGTTGAGCCTTGAAAGAATTCAAATAGTGTCACGTCACTCCTAAACGGCCAAGCATTACCGTCTTGAAGTATGACTAGAATTATTTTGAGACGTGAGAAGGACCAGATTGTCGACCGACTGAAAGTTGCCATCGGCGCCCCCTTGAACGAAATACGCGTCAACAGGAAAAAAATGTTGAAAAAAAAAAATAATAATAACGCAAGCAGCCAAGTGACAGGGAGCGCCGGATTTGGGAGCCAGGGTCATTGCCTGATGAGACTCGGGACATGAGATAATGCTGAAAATAGCAATGTGAAGAATAATAGCAGACAAGAGCTCTGACGCCGCAATCTTCTCCCGCGGAGCGAGACGTGGATTCCCGCTCTCCCCAGCGACCACTGTTCCTCTCCCGAGTTACAATGTAGTTTGGTTTGACGCAAAGTGGACTGACATGGCTGCGTAATTTTATACACAGAGACTTTGAGTGGCTCTGCAATTCTGCCACTATCGATCCTGCCTGGCTGGCTGGCTGGTCCCCTGGAAACCTAGCCATTACGCGGTCCTTGGTTGAGGTATTGGCATGCAGTACACCTAGAAACGGAAGGCTAGCTTATTTTCACGTTGGCATGGAAACGCCCCGAGAGACAACGGCGAAGTATTGCTAGGCAAGTACTTGCCTAACAAACAGTGCTACATAGACTGAAGAGAAAGACTGGTACAGTGGCGGCTGGTAACTTCGGCAATGGTTGCGGCCTTTGGATGCTGATAGCTCAAAAGGGCTATGAGCCGCAAACGTTACTCGTCTGGCGGCAAGCATAGTAAATGATGTCACCAGCCTCTTCCAAGTGACATTTTCAGTTTCGTAGTATACGGGGTCTCGCTCTGTAACCAACGTGGTCTACTACGTTCAATGCGACATCTGGGTGCTGTGGAATACATTTCCGAGACAGCTGAGGACTAGTAAAAGACATTTCTAAGACCGAAAAAGCCACATCTCTAAGAGAAAGAACCGTATATTATTAACCGGCTTTTAGCGATTAAGGAAACTTGCTCTATCCTCTTTCTCCTACTCTACTCGCAACAGGAATTGTCCTCCGTGTTATTTAATTTTCCCTGCGCTATTCAAGAGCTGGTTGTGTAATGCAAATATACTATAAAGTGTATAGAGTCAATAGTCGCTTTATTTTTGTATATAGTATATATCTTGTATTTTAGATTGCTTGTAGGTTAATACACATATCGAAATTGCGGAATTTCCTTGTCGGTTTTATCCATAAGATTTATCATGGTGTCTTGTGTTTCGTTAAATTCCGCCACCTCTGCCGTACTTGTAGTCTTATCGCGGCGGTGGTTTTCCCAAATAAGATATGCACGTAGCATAAAACAAAGGCAAAATCCAAATGCAAGACATATAATAAGCGCAAGAAAACCCGAGGTGTATGTTGGCGCTTGCCAGGCAAAAAAAAGCTGTGGTCCAATAATATTGCCTGTGCAATACGCCATAAAACTCTTTATATTGTGGAAAGCAAGCTCGAGTTAGCACATTGCAGAAGATATAAATAAGGAGAGTATCCTTTTGTCTGTTGAAAACTGAGAAAAGGCTTATCTGCTGTGGGACTTACCATTGCATTAACAGTCGTCTTCTTTGTAAATCCGCCGAAGTTTCCCGACATGAGAGACATGATCAATGGGAAATTGGCGGCATAGCCTCCCGCCATGCAAATTCCTGCAAGGCGACCCCATTTCATGTCCACTGGAAGTTGACGCACCATAATGGCGCCTGTAACAGCAATAGCAAGGTTACCAGCCATCCAGTACGTTCGGGAATTATTAAAGTAAGAAGATCCAATTGTAGCAGTTAAAACGAGGAATAATTGAAGGACATAATTAATGCTTGTAAGGAGCAGTGTGTTCATAGTACTAAAGCCGAAGGCCCTAATAATAATAGCACTAAACTGTTAAATGTCTTGTTAGTAAGAATAGTCTTTACCGTGGCCAGGCGTTAGGGGAGGTTGCGTACTGTCGTCACAGCACCATTAGGGATACTATTAGCGATTTGCATAGCGACAACAAACCAGCTCTTAATATCTAAGAGCGCCTCGAGACACTGGGACCATTTGAACTCGTTATTCTTAATGCCAGTCATGTTCTCCTTGACTCGAACAAGAGCTTTTTCGCGATCAATCCTGTTTAGAAACCAGGCCTTGCCGGGGGTGTCTGGAAGCGTGAACAAAAGAACAAAAGACCAGGCAATAGTAAGGCCACCGAATATCAAGAACACGGCCTGTTTGGAACGAGTATTAGCCTTCCTATTTAAAATACAGGTTTCTTAGTGACACAATACATACCTTCCAGGGGGCAATACTGTCTATATGGCCTATAGCATTAGCTAGCAGGCCACCAAAGATTCCGGCGAAGGTGTTGCCGAGATACCAAGCTGCATGGCGTAGCGGCTGTTCTGCCCGCTTATACCACATAGCTACGACGACAGTCAAGCCAGGGCCAATAGCAGCTTCTGTGAAGCCAAGAAAAAATCTTTCTGCGAGCAGGCCTGCAGGATTAAAACACACTGCAGTTAGTATTAGAACTATACCCCAGACTAGCCTACAGGCGATAAAGATATATTAGTTACTGTACAAAGTACTTGGGGAGGTAAAGTTATTACACTGAAGCAGATATAAGTTTGCCCACATGCCAGCGCACCATTAAGACGGCGGCCGGGTACGAGGCAGCAAGATATCCGAAGTAGTATATGCCGCTAGACCAGGAGTATTCCTCGCCGGTGAGATGTAGGTCCTCCCGAAGGCCTAAAATGGCTGTGCTGTTAAGCGCAGTCTTGTCTAGAAACTGGAACATGTACGATAACCCCATTACTGGTAACAAGCTACTAAGGTATAAGCAAATAACATAGCCAGGCACACGGATAAGCCTATATCGGGCGTCTTACCACATATCAATTTTGCGAAGCAGTCTCTTGTCTTCTTCTGGGCTGAGGACCTCATCGTAAACCTCGTGCGTCTTTGTTTCCTCAGCGTGCATTGTGCTGCCTTCACGCTCAGTCTTTTCTGTGGCGGTAGCCATATCAAATATGTGAGAATCAGGTCAATAATATATGTACGCAGTACTAAAAGTGTGCAAGTTTATTAAAACGGGGGGGTTACAGTAGAGATGGATCCTTTAAATAACCAGACATCGAATTTAACCGTCACCCCGCCCGGTAAAACAATGAGGCTACCCCGTGGGGTTAATTGTAGGAGATCGGAGATCGGTTATGAAGCCTACCGCCGGAGGACCCCGCTGCACTCCGCCGAACTCCGTTTATTATTCGGCTCAATACAATTTACTACATCAGAGTCTATACAAATATAAGCACTTTAGCCCGCGGATACGTCCACTTATTATTCTCAGTGGTTTATATTTAGACACCGCTTAAATGCTACAGCGTAAGTTAAAGCCTACCAATATATCCTGCCCTCGGATTTTGCCTGTAATCGAGTTCGACGAGTTCCAACTTAATTCATGCATTCAACTAGGGCACGGCACGGGTGGAGGCACTACGAGGTCCTTGTAGTATTCCATCTATTCCTTCAAATGAATCGTATCTAGATGCCCCCGCCTACTAATATGACGCTTTAGAGGAGGACCCAGTAGCCAAGGGGACGCTTGCGTCTCTGGATAGATCAGCGAATAGAGTTTGTCATCGAGTCTGATATCCCTGACAAGCCGTCTTGGCAGAATCTAGGTACCTCAAAATAAGGTCAACTTCGGTCGAGTTCTTCACACAAGGGGGTATAAAGACGTCCGAAATGTGCGATGCGCACTCCGAGTAGTCCATGTCAACGTCCTCCAAGACCAACAATACGTTTAGAATTGAATTCCGCACACGGCGTGCGCAGGAACCCGTCCTCAATTCCTGTTACTGCTGTGAACAATTATGGCAATACTATATCTTCTAGTCTTATAGATATACCAAAGGGAACAATCCGGTCTACTTCTGCCCTTTTAGACCCAGGCATTGAGGATAGCTTATCCTACGGCCTGCCACCATTTGATATCAAGAATACACCAAATGGCAATAACGAAATCAGTCAGCCGTCTGGACCAGGAAGAATTTCCGGACCGTCTCAATCATGTAAGGAGGGGACATGTGGTGGCAACAATACTGAATATATGTCATTTATCAACAAATGGCGTACAATTATCGGGAAACCCACCCTCGAGCACGACGCCTTATTGGAGGGTAATGCTTGCGAAACAAGTAGGAGAAGCCCTTCAGAACTCGAACACATCATTTGGAACCGCTCAACAGGTTATTTGTGGGGGAAACCTATCAATTGAGGACGCTGTTATCACCTGGCTTTGTGACAGGTCAGCTGGTCGGATCTCCCGACCATGGAGGAGGCCTGTAAAAGGTTCCCCCCGGGGTGGTCAGGGGGGCCGACTGGACATGCGGACGTTATGTCCTCAGCGAAGTACACCAAAACTGGATGCGGCCAGAAAAACAGCATCTGGACCTGTGATTTGGCTTGTGATAAGCCCTGCGATTTTAATCTGCACCCTGAAACGCAACTGTCGCGTAGCAATTCTCAATCTAATTCCCGAAGAATTAATTTAGGAATAGGGAATCGTTTGGGCTTCGCATGTGCTATAAAAACCCGCGAGTAACAACTAAGGGAAGAAGCCCGGTCAGCATGAAGTAGTAGGTTGAGATGTGCTTCTTCCTTTTTAACACTATTTGCCCGTATTGGAAGAAAGAAGCGCTAGTTACAAGCTCTGGTATTTTGGACCTGAAAATATTAGAAAGCTACCACGATCCTTGTGTACACGCGGGAGGCTAATACGACTCAAGCAATATCATGCCAGGCTGGTATACGGAGTAATCGGCCGGCCATAAATACTACATGTTAATGTGAACATACCTTGCCCACGGGGAACGACGATACTACTCGGTACACAATGATGTGTTGCAGGCAGATCAATCAGCCTGGCTTAACTACAGTAACATGCATCGCCCTGGTGCGGCCACAGCCATAAGCATTGCTCGATGCTAAATGACAATAGAATTCGACTGCAAGAGACTTTTGCAATCCTGCTTAGTACGCAGCAACTGCACTGGTGATAGGTACAATTATTTAACCTTTCGTCGTGTTGGTATTGAGAGAGTATTTCTTGAGCACCAGCCACTAAGCCTTTGTCAGCCTTGCATGTATCATGGTTGGCTCTCTCAGGATGCCATAATAGTGTGTAAGCTTATGTTTGATACCTGCTGGTTCGGGTCATGTGCTCATGGGGGAGACCTTGAGTGAGTGGTCAGAAGATAAACGACAGCAGTCAATTCGCACAAGGGCTTTAGGCCAAACTACATATGTAGGCCAAGGCTACATGAGCCGCAAACGAAGCAACCCCAGAGAGAAGCTCTTACCCGGACAGCAATCAGGTTGAGACCCTTATCACTCTCAACTGTGAGCAACTTCTATTATTTTAAAGCTGTCCGTCATAGTACGAGCATCTCCAGCTTAATTTACTAGAAACAAGGAGGAACAAGCAGGGTGAGACATGCGACGCAAGCAAGGTTGAGTATCTACGGAGCTCGTATATCGGCATTCCGCGAGAATGACGTCTTTGTCGTGAGATGCCTACCCCAGCAGCTAACATGATCAATCCTCCACCGTAAGTAATGTCCACATGTGCACGCCTAGCCAATGATCAGAGGCCCGCGGCCAGGGTCGTTCATATTAACGGTGGGGGGAAAACTTGGCCATAGCGGTGGATTCAGAGGACATCAGTCTGGTTGGAGTCGATCATTGCGAGTCTACAAAGGTGGTGCGCAAATCTGACGACAACATTGAAGGTGCCCAGGGCTTAACTGATGGAAAGAACAGAGGGCACGAGCGCGGAAGTATACTTGACACCATGGGACACGAATTGCACCGTGCAATAATTTGCTCCGACGTAAGTGACATGCAACTAGGCTTCTGGTGGGGTTGTGCGCGAAATCCAGGATTCTAATAATTCCAACAAAAAAGGATAGCATATCCCGAGACAACAACGTTAGATTCCGGGAAATTATACGTCTAGCACCCTCCAAGTAATTATTACATTCCTGTATTTACTTTCGGGAATACATATCGCGGGGGCGGCATCATACAGACCTTTATAATAGATGCATGGTGTTGAGCAAGGCTTTGCACTTGGCATGTGGGTTACACCACAGCTTCCCAAAATGGAAATTATTGACCGCTTCATACATACTAGTGCTACCTGCCATTAAAGGACATTTACCGCTAATCGGCCAATACAGTTTCTTGTTAGACCTAGGGAGAGGTAGAACAGGGGAATATGTTCTGCACACTGGGTATGCTTACCAAAGTCTGTGGACAGACTTGAGGTAGAAGCGGGCCTTAAATGGCTTGACGTGGTGTTACACGGATGACACGTTGCCATGAAGGCACGGGCCGAACCTTGAACCCGACGATAGTTACACAAGGGCTCTGATCACGAGACCTAGGGAAAGTTGCCTCACCGCCTCTTGATATAAATAAAGGTCTTCCGCCCTTAGGGCCTTAAGGAAAACCAAGAACTTTTGATATCAAAGCAAAGTATTAGCCTGAATATGAACATTGTTCTAAGCCCCTAAATACTAGGCCCTTGTCACACGTGGTGTATAAAGAAAGATATATTTTTATTAGCTGAGACCGGCAATCTTGAGTGAGTGATGAGTTCAAAAGTGGCACGCCGTGGCTCGCGACTATTGATACAACGGGGGGTATTGTCAAAAGCACCGTTGACCTCACAAATATAGCCGCAGTTTGAAACGCTCCGCACAGTTCAAGAGATAGGTCCCGTAGCTCAAAACGCAAACATTTTGTCGAATCTAGAAGCGATGGCTTCTTTACTGCCATGAATCCAGTAGTTTCTTCATACTTGATAGTGATAACGACTAAATGGCTTCTGCAGCTCGACTAGCATCCAGGTTGTGCACTCATCATTGAAATGACCCAGTCGCGTGGAGTCGGGGATTTGTCCTCTCAGGGTTGACAGATGCAGATTTATGCTTCTGCAGTACCAGACACGTCCCAGTAAATATCTATGATGCCTAACAAAGAATCTTTGGGAACATGAATCCGATGGAGGACAAAGCGTTCATCGGCGGCTGCGAGCAGAGCTTTCCATTCGTCCAAATATCTGTCGGGACTATTAAAAAAGCATTTCAGACTCATGTCCACCGACCTATTTCGTAACCGTCAGCAGGGATGCTTCTTCATCATGACTTGTATTAACATCTGACGGCATACCTTTGAACTCAATCTTTGCATAATGGAATAGTGCCTGGCTCTGGCATGCATGCATCCTGAATAAGGATCTTCGCTCCCGGTCGGAGGGCCGGTATCTACGCTTTCAAGATTTGGAGAGCGTATTTGTTGCCCCAATTGCGGAAAACCATGCGAAAAGGACAGGCGTTAGCCTGTACCGTCTGCGGATCAAAAAGGTCCATGTCATATTTCATGAATTAGACGCGTTCTTTCAGTTGTTCGGGAACATCGTCGGCGCCTTTAATAGCCGTGGCCGCGTCTTGGACAAGGAGCTTGATGTTCCCAAAGTTCTTGGCCAGTTCTATGGTAACTTGACCTCTAGATCCCCCAATGTTGACGATATACGCGTTGCCAAGGGATGCCCAGACGTAGACCTTGGAAACAGCTACGACGGCGTAACCGGGAACATGGTCCACGGCTGCTTGCATCGCAGACGCAAAGCGCATCTTTGCCTTCAAAGGTGACCCATGCGTTGATGCACGGATGAGACAAGAATTTGGAGATGTTTGTATGTGCCACCATGCCAGGCTCCGATTCTCTCAGCATACACATGGCCGTGGCGTTCCTAAGTAGGCGTCTAACAACCGGGGTCTCCAGGCCTGCTTTTTCGGCAATATCTCCAAAGGAGACCTGGCCACCTGGAGGTATTATATCCGCAATATGGAATCGGCAGATTGCGTCAATGATTGCGAGGTTGGAGATCTTGAGACGATGAACGCATGAAAAGAGACCAGCCAAAGCCGAGAAATTCCTACAGCGCTCAATTTACAGAGCATCATCAGAGGCTCCAGGAGCAGCTCGTGTAGCTCGGCAGTCGCGTCAAGGACAGCATCCCGAAGATGGGATACATTAGCAGGGAGGTATTCAGGAATGTCCTCGGCAAAGGATGGGGATGCTATTCCCCGGGCTGTCAAGCGCTCATACAGTTCGGCGACGGAAGTACTTATCTGAGAAGCTAACGCGAGCGACGATTCGGGGAGTGGTATTGGGTGATGCCATTGTCGCTGAGAGATGGGATGGAGTTGGCGAAAGGTATGGGGTAGACAAGATATGGGCGATGATTCAATCAACATGGAGATGGAGCTCAAAAGCAAGACTTGTCATGACGAGCCTCAAGGCAATATAAAACTGAGTCCTCGGGATATGGGTTGTTCCGGGCCTTGCTTTTAAGCTCATGTGTAGGAAAAATTAATCGTACCGCAGACGCTATAATTCTCGGTCCCGCGACTCCGACGACAGATTGTTTATTGGTCATTGCGCTGTCACAATACAAGCCGCAAATCTTACCCATAAGTGAGGCGTAACATGCTTTCGTCGAGGCAGATTTTGCGTGGCAGTCGCACAACAGATGTCACAGTTACAGCCAACCCCTAGCTATGAGAATGTGAGTGGTTTGCTCTCTTGCTACAGTACGACTGGAGGCTGTCACTCTAAAGTACCGGTACTCTTGTATAAAGCGACTTTGGGGACCTTTTTGGTTGCCCTAGAACTGACCGACGACATCGAAGCATAAGAACTGAGTAAACACAGACTGAGCTGCGGCAATGTTTCTGCTTTGTTTGAATAACACATCAATATTAATGCTTGACATGTCTTCCCTCGCCCCATGACGACGAGGCACGTATGACCTACCATTCGTAATGACACGCATGCAGCCGATGCTCCATGTCTCTTTTACTCTGGAGACTGGAAGTCGACAAAGTATATGCTTGTATCAGAGTAGCTAATCTATTTGAGGGGCATGGCACAACCTCGCACAACCCTAGAATTACGATGGGCAAGGAATCTGCGATGCGGCACCTACCCGGTACCTTGAACTCCGTAAAGCAAAGAAGACTCGTTTACTTCGGACTCGAAATAAGTGATAATACAACCTAATATAAAGCGCTGGAGGACCAGGTTGAATCCATCGTACTGGACCACAAGATTAAAAGAACATGCTGTTGTTTTGTTGAGAGCGGCCGTAAGTGTATTTATCGCTTTAGAAGAGCCTAGGTAAACTCTGCGTAGATTGGCTACTTGGTATGTATGTAGGGCCACCTATTTGTTATTACATATTAACTGTAACTATTATTAGCACCCCCAGCTCCTTCTGGCTGTTATTGGGTGGAAACTGGCTTATTATCTGCTTTAGTAGTTGAACCTTACTTAGCGCAGAGCTGGCAGAAAAGATTGGTGTGGAGAGCGGTCTCTTGAGTGTGTACTCATTTCTTGACTATAATTGAGGGATATTGATTGCTCTCAGGGAAACTATTCCACCTATGATTGTCTTTTTGACTCAACAGGTATCCTGTTTAATAGAGGAAACCTAGCATGAAGGTGCTCCACTAATCGCGGAGCCTCAAGAGTTGGAAGCGCATTGTTGATGCTATTCCGAGCCAAGATATTCAAGAAGCTACCTGCTATAATCGCCGGTATCTTTCTATGCCCGCAGATAACACGTTGAGCGTTGGCGGCCACGGCCTCTGCACTCGCAAGATACTTGACGCATGCGTGACTGTTTAGTGTGAGTGTTTAGAGTGCTATAAAGACACCAGCAAAGTGAAGCAAACTGATATCGAGTCTATAAAATAGTAAAACTTGGAGCTAAACCAAGTCTTGAACTATTTGAATAGCGATCTTTTACTATATACCTACCAAAACTCGTTGCAATACAAGGCCGTAGCTATATATGTATTACATATTTAGGAAATACTGTAAAATATTTAAAGAGCTAGATAAAGGCAAAAAACAGCAACGATCAAGCTTTACGATTCCTCTCAGACGAGAGCCGATACATTTGTGGCTGGTATGCTGGATTAATAGTAGCTGATAGTAGTTCTGTCATGTTAAACATCATGGTGTAAATGTTGAGGACCTCGGGATAGCAGTTCATAGCCAGATTTGGTGCCAATCGGCAGCTATTTAGGGACTCCATGCAGCAAGTATTTGGGTCTTTCAAAATTTCGTTTGGGTTTTTGGAAATTACACTGTTATTACTTGAGTGCATGTAGGGACGTTGTAAAGGCATTTGCTACCCGTGTTTTCACTGTTGCTACTATTTGTGTCACCGAATAATGGCAAGCCCGTTAGCGGCGCAGACTCTTCTTGTTCCAAGTGAGATCTCCTTCATTGGCGAATGACACTTCTGAGAGAGTGATTCGTCCTCATGACGGCTTGGATACTCGGACAGTCATGGACCGCTGGCACGGCTTCATGAGCCAACGGCTGCTGTGCTGACCTGCTATGCTCGGCAGTTAATCTTGGGTCCAGTTGGGTTCGCATAGCGTGTGACTGATTATACACATAAGAGCTATAAGAATATATGAAGACAGTCAGGGAGAATAGACTGGATAAGACGTCTTTCACAGCCTCAGCCTCGTCATCCAGAACAGGATGCTCTTTGTTTATCGCGACACTACATGCGACGCATTTGTCCATTGGGACTCCTGGAGTATGCCTGGCTGGTGCAGAGTTGACTCTGTGGTGCTACGGCTGCTCATAGTAGTGCTCCCAGTGCTGCTGTTGCGAGTGTTGATGGCGGTAGTGTGAATAATGGTGGTCTGGGTTGTGATTGTGTCAAGCCAATAGTTGATGCTGCTGGTCCAATGTCCCTGAAGGTTGATGTACCGAGACACTCCGAGAGCTCAAAGGGGCTGTCCGAAGCGAGCCTGAGAAAAATACATGCATAGACTACCGGCCTTGACGCGCCGTATGTAGTCGTCGGCCGTAGCAGAGCCGTCGCCGGGAACTAAGCGAGACCATCGCAGCTTGTGGGCAGGTGAATCTCTGGCGATGCCGTTTAGTCCCAGCATGGTTGGTTGCGGACTGGAGGTTCAATAGTTGGCTTGGCGACAAGGGCGGGTTGCGCACGGGCAAGGAAATGCAAGAGGGCTTATACTAACTCAAAGGCTCTGGCCGCGGGCTCGCTTCGCACTCTGGCAATCTGCTCACAGTCTGGTTCGTCATGGACTCATGTCTGACAAGGGTCAAGCGCGAGAGAATGAGGCTTGAGCATGGTTGGAAGAGGGCACGGCTAATAAGCCAAACATTCAGAAGATTCCCTGCCGCAAGACCGACTCTTTCCCCCATGCTGAGAAACTGCAGCCAGGGTTCGTAACCACCAAGACAATAGAACGTTGCAGGTATAGACGTGATGCCTCCAAGCCCGGGTCCAAGTTTTGCCAAGAGCTATTCAACGAACAACATGCGAACAAGAATTGCCGCCCTGTGAGTAATCACCCTGGACAAGACCAGTTGACCTCTTTATTGACAGCGGGACGCTCAACCGTGTTAATTGTCCCACGGCACGATTGCTTGGCACAGCCTAGGCATAATACAAGACTTTTGATAATAGCGTGCCAAACAGTCGAGGAACACGAGGGTGTCGGGGGTTCCTGGATACGACAATAATCCATTTCTCGGTCAAGAGCTGGGGATTCAACACCTTCGGCCCTATTCACACCCCTAGTAGCCTGGCTAGTTTTGCGCCTCGACTTTGGAAAACTTTTGCAGTATTGTTTTATGGACGCTAAACCTAGACTCCACCCGGCTACTTTCACCGAGCGCAGTGTTATATAAACGCCCTTTGGGTGGGATGAATTACAAATTACGGATGTTACGGGAAACAACCAACCAAGACACGCGGGCTATGCATGTGAGTTGCTACCCCAAGTTTATCGTCGGCAATTGCCCACTCTTACGTGGCCCCCAGCCTCATTCAACAGACCCCATCCGATATGCCTCGGGACATGTTAATACGAACTCTATCCTGTATTGGAAGGCATCTAAGTGGTCAGATAAGGCTGCCAACCCACTTGAAACAAACCCTAGCCTTGTACGCGGCCCGGGGCGGCGACACATGGAATATTCCATGAGGAACTTATGGCACCGCATTGTACATAGTGCATATTTTACTCCCCTACTTTCCACGCCATGAGGCCAAAAAAATCCCCGATGGACAAGGATACACTTGACCCTGGCCAGCAGGTGCTTAAACTTTGGAAACTTGCTCGCGGCTAACTGCGTTCCTATTAGCTTTAGCTTCGAGGCTTTGACTCTAGACAACTTGCCCTAGTCTTTGTACCCTGCCATGACTGCGCCGGGAATACTTGACCCCGCATAGTATGAGACTGTCTGGGTAACGTCATCTACCATGTAATTTGCACCAGACCAGACTGTACATGTCAACTCTAATCAACGTGCCTTCATTTGGAGAGATAAAACTGCCGAGACGAAATAGTGTACCACACATGGCCCGCAGGTGCCTTGCAGGAAGGGCGTCGTGCCTCGAAGCCGTTGAGGATTTGTTTTCCGAACATGACGGCGCGACCCGGTTTTGATCTACCAGTCTAATACATGCTTGGACATATTACTACTCCGTAATCTCTGACCCATGCTTGCCACCTGTGTGGCCTGCTCTAATTTGGTCTAGTGCTCCCATCACCGTTATCCAATGAGAGTAACT